CCTCCCCCACCTCCTCCTCGTCCTCCTCCTCCTCCTCCTTCTCCTCATCCCCCTCCTCCTCCGTCTCCTCCTCCGTGTCCTCCTCCCGATCTCGAATAGGTTTGCCCCCTTTAAAGGGCTCTGTGGCTGCGGATGTCAAAAATATCCTCCCCCTCCTCCTCCCCCTCGCCCTCCTCTTCTTCCTCCTCCTCCTCCTGCTCCTCCTCCTCCTCCTGCTCCTCCTCCTCCTCCTCCTCCTCTTCCTCCTCCTTCCCCGAGGACGGGGGCCTGGCACCTGCTCTCATGGTGTCAGCGCCACTCCTCGGGGCACACCGTCAGAGTCGACTGCCTTCGGCGACTGGGGGCAGCTAAACCGGATCATGCCTTTTGGAACCAGCCACGTGGCAGTTTGCCCGCGGCAGCGGCGCTAGCCACGCTCCGTGACGCATTTGGTTGGGAGGTGGGACCACGGCCCGTAAGGCCCATGGTGGCCTTGTGCCCGCCCGCCCTGGGGGAAAAACCCAGTTGCGCATGCCAGCTGATTGGGCTGGGGCCGCTGGTCGGGAAGTACCTCGCAGTGACGAGGTGAGCCGGCTGCCCCTACGCACCACGCCCTCTCGGCAGGGGGTAAGCCGCTGGGCGACGAGGTAGTTGCCTATCCCCTGATCGTCGGTGCGCGCGCCTGCGGGCCCGCTTCCTCCCGTAAGGGGGAGACCTGGGGTGCTAGTTGCCTGCCCTTGCGGCCCGCCTGCGCACGGCATGCACCGTGAACTTCCTGGACCCATGATTCCATGACACCTCCTTCTCCTCTTCCTCCTTCTCCTTCTCCTCCTCCTCCTCCGTCTCCATTTCTTCTCCTTATAGATAAGTTCTCTCTGTCGCACCCCGAGGCCAGTTTTTACGGCGTGCTGGGCGCTTCGCCTGAGCATTCTTCACCATTTATGACCTTGAAGCTTGAAACGTGACAACAGTTTAACCGATGGACGGCGGGTGGTTTTTCAAAATGTGGTTCTCGCCTTAGCGCCGCGCACATTCGTTTTCAACGGTTGCAAGCGTTTCACGGATTGGGGCCGGGTGGTTTTCAACATATGGTTATCGCTTGAGCGCCGCGCACATGTGTTTTCAAAATTGCAAGGGCTTCACATATTGAGGGCGGTTGGTCTTCAACATGTGGTTCTCGCATTAGCGCAGTGCACATCCGTTTTAAGAATTTGCAAAACTTTCGCGGATCCACGGCGGATGGTTTTCAAAATGTGGTTCTCTCCTCAGCGCCACGCACATTCGTTTTCAAGAACTGCAAGATTTGCATGGATCGAGGGCGGGTGTTTTTCAAAATGGGGCTCTCGCTTTAGCGCCGCGCACATTCGTTTTCGCAACGGATTGAGGGCGGGTGGTTTCCAAAATGTGACTCGCCTTTGGCGTCGCGCACATTCGTTCTCAAACTTTGCAAGATTCTCACGGGTTCCCATGATCAGCGTGCCAGAAATGGTTTGTTGGGAAGGATTCAGGATTATGCGGGCGCAACAGTTATGTTGATTCGCGGTGTCGAAGTCCCAAACATGGCGTTATGTTACGATTCCGGATCGTCAAGACCGCGGCCGTCAGGTTGCTACTTGGCGTTGAAATCCCGAGTGCAATGTTTTGTCATGTTGGCATGCTTCCGGGTTTTCGAACGGTTGCCTTCAAACGAGGCAGTTCCCTCAATGGAAATGAACCTGTGTAGGGGCCTATGAGGAGGGAGCTTGGAGGGAAGGTTCATTCCAACATCGACAATGAATCTTGGGTTTACACCGGTCCTCCTCCTCCTCCTCCTCGTCCCCCTCCTTTTCCTCCTCCTCCTCTTCCTCCTCCTCCTCCCCATCCTCCTCCTCCTCCTCCTCTTCCTTTTCCTCTTCTTCCTCCCCCTCGTCCTCCTCCTCCTCCTCCTCTTCCTCCTCCTTTTCCTCCTCCTCTTCCTTCCCATCCTCCTCTTTTCTTTCCTACTCCTCCTCTTCCTCCTTCTCCTCCTTTTCCTCCTCCTCCTTTTCCTCCTCCTCCGCCTCCGCCTCCTCCGCCTCCGCCTCCTTCTACTCCTCCGCCTCCTTCTCCTCCTTTTCCTCCTCCTCGTCTCCTTTCCTCCTCCTCCCCCTCCCTCCTCCTCCTCCGCCTCCTCCTTTCCTCCTCCTCCTCCCCCTCCTTTTTTCCTCCTCCTCGTCCTCCTGTTCCTCCTCCTCCTCTCCTCCCTCCTCCCTCTCCTCCTCCTCCCTCCCCTCCTCCTCCTCCTCCTCCTTTCCTCCTCCTCCTCCTCCTTCCTCCTCCTCCTTTCTCCTCCTCCTCCTCCTTTTCCTCTCCTCCTCCTCCTCCTCCTCATCCTCCTCCTCCTTCCTCCTCCTCCTCCTCCTCCCTCCTCCTCCTCCTCCTCCATCCCTCCTCCCCTCCTCCTCCTCCTCCTCCTCCTCACTCCTCCTCCTGTCCTCCTCATCCTCCTCCTCCTCTCTCCTCCTCCTCCTCAGCCTCCCCCCTCCCCCTCCTCTCCTCTCCTCCTCCTATCCTCTCCTCCTCCTCTCCTCCTCCTCCTTTTCCTCCTCCTCCCCCTCCTCCTCCTCCTCTCTCCTCTCCTCCCGCCTCCTCCTCCTCCTCCTCCTCCTCTCCTCCTCCTCCTCTCCTCCTCCTCCTCCTCCCCTCCTCCCCCTCCTCCTCCTCCTCCTCCTCGTCCTCCTCCTCCTCCTCCTCCTCCTTCTTCTCCTCCTCTCCCCCTGCATTTTGAAGCCCCTGGGGCCCTCTGGGCCCGAGGGGTGTTCCTTGGCAGCCGTGGGGGCCTTCTCGGAAGTCCTGGAGGACCTGGGGCCAAGGGCACGTCTGGCAACTCCCGAACGACAAAAACAGGACGGACATAAACTTTCGACGGTCCACGCGGATTTCTTGGATCCGCGCTGGGCCCCCTGGGCGGCGCCTCCGCCCATGGCTCGCTCCGCGCGCCAGGGAGGAGGGTCCAGCGCAGATCCAGGAAATCTGCGCGGACCTTCGAAAGGTAATGTTTATCAGGTGGTAACCTAAGGCAGGATCCTGCAGAGCCAGGGGTGCATTGACCCGGGCTTGCGTGCAGGATCTTGCAGAGCCTCCAGAGTCTTGCGGGATCCTGCAAGGCCTGACCGACCGGGGTTAACGTGGACATGGGTCAGTGCGTCCCCGAAGGTTGAGGCCGAGGAACTCTCGAGTTGTGATTGTCCACCTGTTCCTCTGCCTGGCTCTAGAGCGTGTCAAGTGATTTCTGGACTCGACCCTCGGCTGCTACGGATGGCGCAACATGCATGCATGCATACATGCATGTAGCACATCATACGGCAACTTGTTTAGAAGCATGCGCTGCATGGCGTGGCAACGATGCTCTGGACAAGGGTGATAACACATTCCGGTGTTGCATTGTCCTGGATCAGCAGAAGCCCAAGAAAGCACCAACAAAACATTGCGGGCCCGACTCCGTTGCCGTTTTGGCTCAACTCATTTTGGGTCATGTGTTGGCTCGAGCCGCGCTGGCCCGAGCGCCTCTTGCTCGGGCCGCCTCTGGGTCAGTGCCTCGGCGCAGGCGCGGGTCGCTGCGGCCCTGGCTCGGACCGCATCTGGGCGGCTCCGACCGAACCTCGCAGCTCGTGCCGGGAAGCTCCCCAGTGGCCTTGCGCCCCAATGGCGTCCTCGGAGAGCGGCTCGGAGAGCATCCGCGAGGAGGTTGAGGCCCAGGTGAGGGCCGCCACGGCGGAGCTCCGGAGGCAGCTCTCGGCTCTGCAGGTGCAGGTGGCCGAGCTGCAGCGGCAGGCAGGGGCCGGGGCGGGGCAGCCGCCTGGGTGGGGCGCAGGCCGGGCGGGGCAGGCGTCCCAGAAGGAGGGCTCGGAGTTGGCCTGCAACCTTGTCCAAGGGCCAGATGAGGAGACGGAGGAGGAGGTGGTGGAGGAGGGGGAGGAGGCGGCGCGGGAGATGGAGGACGTGCCCGAGACGCTTTTCTCGTACTGTATGGCGCAGCTGGTGATAAATCCCGAGAGTATCGCCGAGCCGGTTGCCTATTTGGCTCTCCAGTTCAGCATTCAGCTCGGGCTGGCGATGCCCTTCATAACTGCGGCCGCCGGCAAGTTTTTCGACCTGTACTGGAAAGGGCAGGCGATGACGCCCGAGTTGTGTTTATACCACGAGAACGTGATAAACGACCATCCGTATCAAGACGTGGTTGCCGCAATGTGCTGTTTCTGCCTCGCCGCCGTTGCAATGATGGCTGATGACAAAGAACGATTGTCCAGCATCTACCCGGACAGGTCCCATTCTCTGCGTGTCCGCGCAGTGGTCACCGCGTGTTGGTCTTTGCAGGGTTTCATCGTGCCTACGATTATATTGACCTCGATTCCTATCCTGATGGTTAACAGCATGAATGCCGTCGACGTAGTATTGAATGGCCTTGCCGTGCTGTTTATTCTTGACGTCGATGACATGTTGTACGTAATTGTGCCTTCGTCTCATCGCGACAGGCTCAAGCAACAGTTCCTGACACAGAGCACGGCATATAGATGGGTCAGAATACATTCAGCACGCCTGGAAGCCGAAGCTATAGTCATGGCCACCTACAAGTTTCTGTTTATGGTATTTTTCTACTTGCAAATCGTGGTGTACACGTTGCCTTCGACTGGCCCAGCCTTGGCTGCATCGTGGTTTACAGAAGACGACTTTGCTCATTGCGTGATTGAACATATACTTTGTTATTGGATGTTGCCATTCATTAGCACATTCGCTTGGCATCAGCCGACGGACGTTTATGATATCATTGCTACGATCCGACGTGCAGTCTGCACAGCCGTCTTCGGCGTGTACTTGCCGTGTATGTTGCTGTTGTACGGACACAGCAGATGGATTGGTCCACCTAGTCTGACGAACAGCCGCAGCATCATCGAATGCTACAACAAAACGTACAAGGCGACTGGTCCACCAGGCGGCATCGTGCTCCAGACGCCATAATTGACTGGCGTTCAGCGCCTGCAGTTGCTGCAGATGCACGGGCATGTTGACCGTATGTTTCTCCTCGCTGCCCCCCCCCCCCCCCCGGCATGCCCTCCCTCTCCATTTCCCGCGCCGACGGGCCCGCGGCTCTGATGTCTGGTGTGATTATCCTCCGGACTTTTCGCGCGCGCGTGCTTGCGTGGCACGTGGCCGCGAGCGGCCGACCCCGAAAAGTTGCTGCTCGGCCGAAGCTGGCTTCAGCCGCGCGAGCAGAAACTCAGTCTTTTGGCGCTTCGCGCGGATTTCTTGGATCCGCGCTGGGGCCCCCCAGCGGCGCCTCCAGCGCCGCCCCTGGCGCACTCCGCGCGCCAGAGAAGGAGGGCCCAGCGCAGGTCCAAGACATCCGCGCGGGCCGCCGAAAGTTTATGCTTGTGCGGTCCGTTCTTTCCCTGGACGCGTGAGTGCGGAAGTCAGAGCGTGAATTACCTACCCAGGTTTCGCTTCCAGGCAAAACCAAGTCATACCACGCGCCTCCTCGTCAAGCGGCCTGACCAGTACAGGCCGTAGTTTGGCATCGCTTCGTATCTCTTGGAAGCGAGGGTGGTCAAAAGCGAGGTAGGTTTGTTTTCCCTTTAGGAAGACAAGCATCACGGGCCCGACGTCTAGGTCACCCGCGGGGGCGCGACGATGCTCGCGCTCCGAGCACCGCGGCCTCGGGCCGTGCAGAGAGGCCGCGGGGGGCGCCGCGGGGGCGCCAGGGCGCGGGGGTCTGCACTCCTCGTGCCCTGCGGAGCCAGGTGGCCTAGGATGTGCTCGAGGTCCTGGATGCCTGGAGGACGTGAGGGTCGTCGGCCCGCCGGGGGAGAGGGCGAGAGAGGGGCAGGCCTCCTCGGAAGGCGGCGGGGCCCCCTCGGGAGCCCCCCTCCGGCCTCCCGGGGGGCCCCTGGCGTGGCCAGGCGGGGGCGAGGAGGAGGGCGGTGAGAGGGGAGGGACGAGGGAAGGAGGAGGAGGAGGTGGAGGAGGGGGAGGAGGAAGAAGGGCCGCGGAGGAGGAGGAGGAGGAGGAGGAGGAGGAGGAGGAAGAGGAGGAGGAGGAGGAGGAGGAGACGGGCCCCGGAGGAGGTAGAGGTGGAGGAGGTGGAGGTGGAGGAGGAGGAGGAGGAAGGAAGGGCCGCGGAGGAGGAGGAGGAGGAGGTGGGCGAGGAGGTGGAGGAGGATGGGCCGCAGAGGAGGTAGAGGAGGTGGAGGAGGAGGAGGAGGAGGAGGAGGAGGAGGAGGAGGAGGAGGAGGAGGAGGAGGAGGAGGAAGGGCAGGAGGACGAGGAGTGAAGGAATGGAAGCCGCTGCAGGAGGTGGAAGGCTTCGAGAGAACTCCTCGGGGGGCCCGAGGCCTGCCCGGCCTCTCCCGAGAGGAGGCTCGCCCCTGTGCCGTAATCCCGGTGGGGGGGGGGGCGAAGAGGCACCGATGCCGCCACTCCCCGCAGGGCTTAATTCGATTCCTCCGATTCGATTGAATTCGATTATGATGGCTTTCGATTCCGATTCGATTCGATTCGGATTCCGAGTTGGGCTCTGATTTCTCAACAGAAACCTTCTAGCCTGCCGATTTCCGCCGATTCGACTTCTCCCGACTCGGCTGCCGATTTCCCGCGATTCGATTCATTTCGTCTACCGATCCGACGTATCGGTTAGGTTCTGGGCTCTCCTGTCCCCAGGCTTCTCCCAGGGTGCGCCCCAGCTTGGATTCCGATGCGATTCTTGCAGCCGTGTCGACGACCCAGAGGTGCGACGCTCCAGCAAAAACTGGAGCGGGCGGCTTTGAGCCGTGTTCGGCCTCCAGGGGCCATCGCCGGGCCCCTGGGAGCGCCAAAAACGACTCGGGACGAGCAACCGGCCCTATAGTTAAGTCGGGCACGCCCCTCTACAGAAGGAAGGTTCAAAGATTGTCAAAGTACAGTTTGGGGAGGATGTTTATAGTATCTTCATTCATGCTTGCACGTTTTTTGATGTTTTCTTGCTCCTCCAAAATCCGCCTGTAGAAGGACATGCCAGACCGAACCCTGTAGGGAAGTGGTCTGGACCTCCGGGGCCCGCGTCGGGAAAGAAAAGTGGAGCCGCCGGGCGTCCAGGGAGGGGCCGTGGCGACGGCAGGGCACAGCTGGGCCGTTGCGTTTAATCTGCGCCCGTCTTCATACGATGAAGTCGGGCGTGTCCCTTCACAGGAGGAACGTCCAGAAATAGCCCAAACAATAGTCGACGGGACGATGTGTGGACTACTTTTGGCCATGTCTGAAAAAATGCCTGACATTTTTGAAGGGTTCCTCCAGGGCCCGCCTGTAGGAGGACATGCCCGGCCGAACCCTTGGGGAAGTGGTCCGGGAGGAGGAGGAGGAGGAGGAGGAGGAGGAGGAGGAGGAGGAGGAGGAGGAGGGTGAGACGGCCGCCGCTTCGGAAAGCCAAGACGTGGAGCCGCCGGGCGTCCGGGGGAGGGGCCGTGGCGGCGGCGGGGCACAGTGGGGGCCGCTGCGTCTGCCCTGCGCCCGGGGGGGGGGTCGGGTGCGCAGGGGGCGGTCCTTGCGCGCCGTCTTCGCACGGTGAAGTCGGGCATGTCCCTCCACGGGAGGAATGTCCAGAAATAGTCAAACAATCGCCTGGGGGCGATGTGTGGACTGTTTTTGGCTAGGCGTTGTTGGATTTTTGACCATGTGGACGATTTCTGATGTCAGATTATCTTTGGCTAGGCTTGAACTGTTGTTTGGCTGTGCTTCCTGTTTCTTCCAATAGGTCTGGACCTCCGGGGCTCGCGCATGGGAACAGAACGTGGAGCCGCCGGGCGTCCGGGGAGGGGTGGTGGCGACGGCGGGGCACAGCAAGGGCCGCTGCGTCTGCGCTGTGCCTGGGGGTCGGTGCGCAGGGGGGCGGCCCCTGCGCGCCGTCTTCATACAGGATGGGCAGCCTTCCCTAGGGTACCCTTGCATCCTTGTCCCTTCGGCCCATCCTTAGCGATTTTCGCTGGCCAGCATCGTTCAAACGACGTTGGCCAGCCCAGACCTCTCCATGGGGGATGTTCTGACCCGGATGTCGAGGCGAAGCCAGCGGTGGCGACGAGGGCCCCCCCCAGGAGGGCGAAAAAGGGGGAAACGAAACACGGGGAAAACGAGTCATGGGTACAGTGGAGTCCCATGCCAAGAAACACCCTGCTTGCCGCCAGGGTGCCCTGGATCTCTTGGGTTTCGATGGTTTTGCGATGGAGCGCGCGCAGTTCCCACGCCAGAGATCAATGGACGCCCTGGGGTATCAGGGTTGGGCTTCTTGTGGAAGGTTTTTTGTGGTCGGGCCCTTCCTACACGGTTAAGTCGGGCGTGTCCCTCCACAGAAGGAATATCCAGAAATAGTCAAATAAATAGTCTGGGGACGATCTGTTCTGACTGTTTCTGGCTATGTCTGAGTATGTTTTGGCTACATGTTTCAGTTATCTTCCAAAATCCGCCTCCAGGAGGACATGCCCAACCTAACCATACGGCCCGGGCTCACAGTAGAAAAAGGCAGGCGTGGCACCCTCGCGGTATTCAGGAGGTGCGCAGGGAGTGAGGAGCGGGCGGGCAGCGGCAGCGATGTCTCTTCCTCCTCTGCCTCCCCCCTCCCTCCCTTGGCTCCGCGCCGCCGACTCATTCCGCTCGGGTCGAGGCTCCCGAGAACTTCGCTTTCGATATCCTCGGGGCTTTGCTGGAGTGGCGGGAGGCCCGTGCCGATCCGCCGCCCCTCTGGAGCTTTCGCACCAGTGGCGTTCGAACCAGCACCGAGCCGACAGCCAGATCACTGGCACCGCCGAAGGCGAGGTCCTCCTGCCCTCCCCCGACCCGCAGCTCGCAGGACGACGAGGACGGGGACGAGGACGAGGCCGCGCAGGCCACGGAGGCCCGCCGCCGTGCAGCGCGGACCGCGGCGGGGAGGGCCAGGCGTCCTGCGGGCCGATGTGTTCAATCCCGATCTTCTCCCCCGTGCCGCTCCGCGGCGACGCCCGCCCTGTGAGCGCCCTCCTTCGAAGGAAAAATAACCGGCGCCGCCCCTGGCGCGCTCCGCGCGCCAGGGAGGGGGGTCCAGCGCAGATCCAAGAAGTCCGCGCGGAGCGCCCAAAGTTTGCGTTTGTGCAGCTGTTCCTTCTGCTTCTCCTGCCCTCCCCGCCTCCCGCCCCGCGGCCGCTGCCCCCATCTCTTCCTCCTGCCTCTGCCGCGCTGCGGCGTCGAAAAGATCGTAGAAAGTCTCTTCCCCTGCTCCCCGCCTGCTCTTTCCCCTCTGTCCCTTCCAGCCTGTCCTCGCGCCCTCTTCGTAGCGCCGCCTGCGCGTCTGTCGTCGTCTGCTTGCTTCGCGTTACCGTTATCCCTCCCCGTCCGCGCGCAGCACAGACTGCCGGTAGTTGGCGTTCCTGGGGCGGCGTCGTGGAAAGAGGATGTTCAGCATGTGCGAGCCCTGTTCGTGTTTTCCGATTCTCAAATACGGATATGGGAGGCGGTCGGGGGAACTCATGCGGTCGGGACTGAAATAAACACAACATCGGATGCTTTGGAGTTGAATTCTTCCGTGAGAAGATGTTGGAATTATGTTGCCACTGTTGCATTACAACTGAAGCTAAATTTGCATAACTGCAGTTGTAGTCCTTGGCATGCAATCCTTCATATAGACTAACACCAACACCTTCGATGCTGAAGTTGAGCTTGAATTAGCGTCAGAGTGTGAGGGAGGTGTTGTTTGGCGATCGCAGTTGTCGAAGTTAGGTTGCTGGCGATCGAAATTAGCTCTTTGGGCGGTCGAAGTTGTCGAAGTTAGTTTTTTGTTTGGGCGAAATTCCACTCCTTGTGGCGCCTTGGGCTGCTCCAGCCGCCTCCAGCGCTTGCGCTGTCCGCTTTGCGCTGCGCCTCGGGGCCCTCCTCCTCCTCCTCCTCCTTCCTCCTCCTCCTCCTTATCCTCCTCCTCGTCCTGCTCCTCCTCGTCCCTCCCGCTCGTCATTTCCAAAAAGTCCTCTTCCTCCGCCTCCTCCTCCGCCTCCTCCTCCTCCTCCCCCTCCTCCTCCTTCTCCTCCTCCTCCTCCTCCCTCCCGCTCCTCCCCCTCCTTTCCCCCTCCTCCTTTTCCGCCTCCTCTTCCTCCTCCTCCTCCTCCTCCTCCTCCTCCTCCTCCTCTCCCGTCTGTCCGTCTGTTTGTTTTTTCGACGACGACGTCGGCCTCCTCTCCTCTCCTCTCGTACCCTCGTCCTCCGCGGTGGCCGGGCTAGTCCGAAGAGAAAGAGTACGAAGATATGGAGGAGGAAGAGGCGGAGGAGCAGCAGCGGAGGTGGCGGAGGCGGAGGAGGCGAAGGAGAATGAGGAGGACAACGATGAGCGCCACGGGACTGGGTGGAGGGGAGGAGGGGGAATTCAAGAGGATTCAAGCATGAGCGACAACGGAAGTCGAACAATAATATCATCAAACGACCTGATTGTTCGATGAAGCCCCTCCCTCCCCGCGGCGGCCCTGCTGCGGCACTGGCAGCGGCTGCTCGAGG